ACAGCATTGGGAGATTTTGGCAGAATGCCTATATGATAGTCATATCTCTTCGCTATTCACCGTTCTGACATCAGGACTGAGTGCTTTTTGAACCGTTTAATTTGTGGTTAAATCATCGTACGCCTCGAGTCACCTATTGGACTGCAGTCACACTGTCAGTCGCTTGTTGTTTGTTTATCGTCTACCTCGAAGGTAACCCACATATCTAATGGATAGTACATGCCAACATCTTCGTAGGCCTCAGTTTAAAACACGTACCTTTGATTGTAAATGAACGCCTTCCCACTGGTTATACTGCTCTTCCCAGTGAGCATGCTGAAGGTGCTGGTTTTGCCTGCCCCATTGACTCCAAGAAAACCAAAACACTCTCCTGCATAAACGTCAAAGCTCAGCTTATTGACAGCTGTCACCAGATTTTTCGAATTGTACCAGTGCTTCCTGTAGACCTAAAAATAAACCGCAGGCAATAATTACAAACATCTACAACTCTTACAAACCCACATAGAAACTTGAGTTTGAAACTGAATATAATGGACGTTATGTCTCGTGAACTAGCATATTATGGATGCATCAAAATACGGTGCAGTTAAATTGTAACTCAAGGGAATCATCAATTAATAAACAAAGTTGTTTCTAATTCGATTACATCAACATTTTGGTAGGGTAAGGCACCAGAACAACCAGCTCACATAAATGATCACTCGTCTCTACCACACGGCAATATGATGTGAATTGGATGGAATGCCCTAACTCTTTCTCTTATATGAAAAGAACACTTGGGCAGGTGTCACTAAAGAGAATAAATCAATATTTCCTTACTTTTGACAGGTTCGAAACGCTGAGGACAGCACCATCATTAGCTTTGTTATATCCTTCATCTATCATTTGGTCAGAGCTGGAATATATCCGCAGATATGTCAATATGTGCTTAAGTTTTCTAAAATATTTCAGGTGAAATTCACCAACAAATAATAAATACAGATCAATAGCATGCAGTACACTACAGGGTATTAACACAGTATTACACTATCAACAAGAAGAGTTTTAGACCTGTGATGAAAATGTAGCAGGAGAAACAAGGCAAACTCTTGTGAATCTGATGAGAAAGACCGCTCAGTGGCAAACTGGGGCCAAAAGGCTTGAATATAAGGAAGTTTTTTCATTATGCAGCATAGAAGTCCGACTTTGTAACTTGTCCATTTGACAGCTGATCGGAACAATTGCAAAATCGTCCTGAAATGGCTGTTTCAACGTGCCGAACGGAACCAAGGTCTTTGAAAATGCAATTTTTTAGATGGATGACGGCAGATGTAATAAGTTTGGTAATGATTTTATTTTGTAGTTTCCCTAACTAAGTCACCAAACGGTAGCGAAAAACGATATTTTCTTGCTTAATCTTAATACAGCTATGAATCAGCTATCTCCGTCAGTTTCATCCAGCTTGCCAATGACACATTAGTCTCAGTTCAAAGTCGAAAATCCGGATCAGAGTGCATCAGAGCAATTTAACTGGAAACTATTACGAATGACGGCCTATAGCAGTACATCCCAGACCACATTATAGCATAATGAATTAAATAACCACATATTTCATATATTTAGCTCGCAGAATAAGTGGGGAACAGTTTTTGGGGCCATGAGAAAAGAAATTACGTTACAATCCATTTCCACATTACACTTTCATGAATATCGCTATTTCTAGCACTCTTCATCTAAGGAACTGATCTTCATTAGTAGATACCATCTAGGGTTTTAAAACTAATATTAAAAGTTTGGTAACTGCCATAGTACTGTGACAACTGTTCTCTTTAAACGAACCTATACTCGTTTGATAATTTAAATGAATTGAAGCAGGATACCCAGTGAGGAAACCAGTCAAAAATGATTGAAAGATGAATTTTACCTTTGTAATCTACCAACAGAATTCTCCTTTTAATTATCATATATTATGCGGTCAAAGTTCACCATGGTGCCTTACTACCAGAAGCCAACGAAAGATAATTTCAGCCAACTAAATAGGTCAAACTATTTAGGGCACTCAATTTCTAGAACTTATACCGATGCTGTGAAGTGGACGATTGAACACCACCATGCAATTAAATCAAATTTTATATTTATTTGTAATTTGCTTCTTCGTGTCACAAAGAAGCAGGTTGAAAAGCAAATGAATGTTTAATATGAAATATGTTACCTGACGAAGCAATATTTGTAACATTGTATATTTACAAATACATTTACAGCTCACGAAACCGAAAAGTCTTGATATCGCTGATGCCACAAAGGCGGCGAAAAACCTTTTCTTATGCATGCAAATTAGTCAAGTCATTTCGAGAAAAAGGCCGTACGCTATTAGCAGAGGAATCGCTGCTGTGCTATCATAAGGAAAAATAAGCTTAGAAAGCATAAATTTTCCTCACCTTTTGTAC